TAGTTTTTTTTTTTTTTTTTTTTTACACGCGTTTAATTTATATTTTACACGGGCCGTATTGTACGGGTCACGTGAAGTTGAGGATCCGATAAAATAAGACGATATTGCTTCGATTAGTTGTCGGTAGGCTTGCGATATATCGATATCATTCACGAATATTGATAATGTCGAATACGGTATCCACAAAAAAATATATATCTAAGCGTGTTCGTTATATTTCGAACAAAATAAATATACAGACAAATGTTTTCAAAAATGTTTCAGACAAGTAGAACTATTACGGAAATTAACTTATTCGACGTTCAAATTTGATCAACGTTTTTATAATGATAATTTTTTTGGGGGACATTTTTTTTTTATTTAACAAATAAATCTCGATGTATACAACAAACAAATATCAGCAATATCGAAATTAAATCAAAAACCATTTCAAATGTCTTTTATATTGCATTTGTTGAGACTTTTAAGTATACTTTATTTAGTAAATTTTTAAAGTTTTCACCACATTAAATTCACAGCTTTAGTTATTGATGATGTACTTTGTAAATTTGTTACGAATCGCATACAAAATTCAATGTACACGTTAAAATCGACGATTTCAATAACGTCGACTAAACGATATCCAAACACCCTTTTGAAATATAATAATTAAATCAACACTGGTTTGTTAAAAGGGCGTATACCACATTCGATGCATGTGTACATTGTATACAATGTGTTATGTGTACGATTCATTTTATTTGTTTCCCATAACAAACATCATTTAAAACTGTTTTGACTTCTGAAAAAAAGTGAAATTCGACAGACGCCCTTTTAACAAAACACCGTCGACGTAGAATTCGGTACGTCCACTAAAATGTCTGTGACGTTCATAGACACGAAAATATCGGTGAAAATCCGTTTTTTTCTTTTCAAATAAAATCAGTACGTGACCGAATGTCTACACGTTACGCAATGCGGGGTTAAATTAACACGCGTGTTTTTTCACGAGTAAAAAAAAAAAAAAATAATAAAATCATTCAAGACACGGTAAATACGGTATAAGATTTTGAGCGGAGCGAGGTCCGGGTCGGTTTTTCGATGGCGTTTATCTTTTCAATATTTTTTTTTTTTTTTTTAATGTGGACCATTTTTTCATCGGAAATTTCTCTCCGATTTTCGAGTGTAACGATTTTTCCGAAAGAAACCGGGGTCACTACTTTGGAACGAAAATTTATTGTATTTCACTGGGCGGTTCACACAATCAACGGGGAAAAATCGTAGGAAAAACGGGAAAATATACGAAACGTAAATTATTTTCAAATTCGTATAGATATTACGGCCTTTCAAAACACGCACCACCGAACCGGGTTTAGAATCGTTTTCCGTTAGCACAGATCAATCGTCGCGTACATTAAGTTCCCCTTACTTATTCTACCCTCTCAACTTTTCATCCACTGCGATAGTGGTCCGCCTATCGTGCGAAGAAGTATGTCCGTATATTTTTTTTTTTTTTTTACAAAATGTCGTTTGATATAAGGTCCTTTTGTTCCGAACTCCAGTCGATCCAGTCGAAAAAAAGGCCGCAATCGTCGAAGTACGATGCGCGTTGATCACTAAAAAAAAAAACTCGCGCAAATCCCCCCCCCTCCAATCTAGGAGTCAGATTTCCAACCGTAGACGAAATCAGTACTTGCGCGCCGAGTTTTTCGATACGGCTAACGACGCGAACAAAAAGTAATTATACCGTTTGGAAATCTGATAATTTCGTGTTTTCCGAACTCGGATAACTCATTTGGTGATGTCGAAATACCGAAACCTGCAACGGGGCGGGGAGTTGTGTGCGTTTTACGCGGCGGCAATTCGGTTTCCCGAATTCGTCGTGAACTCCGCGGGCCGAGTGGCGCAGGCCCGCGCACGAAACGGTTTTTCGTAAACATTTCGTCGTTGATCTCGTGACGACGGGAACGCCGATGCTCGCAGAGCGCATCCAAAGTCGATTCGGGACGATTTCGGTAGAAAACGATTGCGTACGTTTCTTACCAAAGAATTTAGTGCACCGTTGCCGGAATTCAATAACAGGTTACGTAGGTGTTCGGCTATTTGACTTTGCGTTTTACTTACGGCATATTCCTAACCATTGGTTAAATTAAAGTGTATTTAATCAATGTCGTAACTGTTAGCGTAACATTTGTACAACGTACAACGGCGATGCATCGGATACGTTTTCGATGCGTTTCTGTAAGATTGCGCGCCGTTGTATTTGGTGGTTGAAAAAAAAAAATAATTTCGACGAAAATCGTGAAAATCGCGGTATTTTAAAACATTTAAAAAAGAAATCCGCTCAGAATCGTTTTTCGTTTGTAATGGCTGATCGTTCATTATGGATTTAAATTCTGAGACGTTTCACCTAGTGATTTTATTTTTTCGCTCTTAAAAAGAAATTCTATTTACAATCAAGTAGTATTGAAATTTTATGACATTTACAAAATATTTTACAAAAAAAAAAAAAAAAAATCGTTTTAAATTTAAGAAGCCGTTTTTTTTTAAAATCCAAGCGTAGCCGAGGGAAGCTATTGATTTTACTAAGATGTTTATTTTTTTTCTCCTTTCTTTGTTCTAGACTGTGGACACGTTTTTTTCATACTAAACTTACTCCAATTTTCACAAGTAGCACATTTTCTGAAAGCTCAAGTTGTTTAAATTGTACTTTGAACAAGTTATTTTTTGATTTTCGAAGCCATTTTTTAAATAAAAGTTCTTAAGTGGGAAAAAAACGTAGGAAAACGTACAATTACACGATTTCATTATTTTATAAAAACACGGATGACGTTTTTTATCAGAAAAAACGATTAAATCGAAAAATTACAAGATACCTTTTTTGTTGCCTTTATGTTTTACTTTTTAAGAGTATTATTGCCAAAAGTTTTCTACCCTTTTAGAGCCTTAAAGGAATTTTAACTTTTGGGAGTTTTTTTGCCGTGATTCGGTTATAAATACACGTAAAAAGTTGAAGCTTGATAATAATACACAAATAGGACTTACATAGACGCGGTGAAATTTCCTAAATCATCGAACGTCTTTTATTTTTTAATACGCGTTTTGAAATCATATTAAACGAAAATCGCAAAAAAAAATTACAGTAATTCAAATTATGTATTACAGAATTGGGCTCGGAATAGTCTTTCGTCAGCAACGGTTTATCGTTGCTTACAGATATAAATGAAATAACCGTGTGTGTCCTACCGTCCCAACTTCGCACCAAAAAAATGGCCGCACTCGTCCCGAGTATCAGCTCTTTTAGATTCTGAGTGCAGTGAAAAATTTATTGGTTTTACCGGGATCTTTATTTATTTATTTATTATTTTTTTTTTTTAACCTGAATACAAAAATGTGATCATAAATCTTGCTCAGATATATACGCTCGGCACCATTTCCGAAATGGAATGTTATCGGATGGTACTTTTGGGAAATCATTTATTGATTTTTCTATCGGTTTTCATAATATCTGGGATAAACTAGGATAAGACGTAAGGAAAACGGGAAATGTACGAAATTAATAATTTTATTATTTTATCATTTTTGTTATTTGTTGTAATTCACTTAAAAATATTCGTAATGACTTAAAATTTGGACAGACAAATTTTTGTCGTATTTTCTTTTCCAGACGTGGTAAAACTTTCAAAATATTCAAGCTATTTTTGAGCAATTTATAGACATTTTAATTTTGCGAGTTTTGTGCGTAATTTTTATTCGGTAGGTACTCTGTGGTAAAATTGTTAGACTTAACAAAAAAAAAAAAAAAAAAAAAAATTAGTTTGATGTACTATTTGTTTTTATAAAGGAATTTCGATACTACATTTTTACGAATATTGTTTGAGTGAAAAATTATGTGGAACAAATCGAATTTTTCAATTTTTTTTTTCGACCATATGTGTTTTGCCGAATTAAGAATGATGGTAAAATTAGAATTGAGTGGAATGACTAGGTTTCGAAATTATAGCCTTTTGAAGTTCGCATATTATGCAAGTATTACACGTTTATGTTAAATAACTCTATATTGTCCACTTTACCACTCGTTTGTTGTAGTCGAATGGTCATGATTACGTATTGTCACACTAAGGGTCTCGGGATAAAACTCCGCGTTTGAAAAAAAAATTGTTTGCACTTTTTTTTCCCCTTTTACCTAAATAGGGAAAAAAACAAATGCACTTTAAGTGTACCTAGAAATCTAGCTTTTGCTCGCTCTGACGATTTTAATCGAAAAATACCCCTCGGCTTTTCGTGCGAACTTTCCACCAGAAATCTCGCTCCCATGTATCGAGTGTAGCCTACTTTCCGAAAGAAACTTTTATCTCCGTGGTTTAAGGAGGCCATTTTTCGATTTTTCCTAAAGTTTTCTTAGCGAATGTGATAGTCTGGGAAAAACCGAATCGGGAAAAACGGGAAAACTGATACAATACAAAACAAATATTATTAAAGAATATATAAAACGCCCGTTTTAATTATTTTGCCATAATATGACATTTATATTGTTGACAAGCATCACTATCAACTGAACTGCGATCAGAATCGTATTTTCGTAAACGACGGTTTATCGTCGCTCACAGACGTACATTGAATTACCTATAACAGTGGATGATCCGTCGCCAATATCCTAGGACGTCTTTTTTTTAAATTTTTTTATTGCAACCTTTCTTTCTCAACCGCAGAAATATCCCGGAATCCTCCGAAAAAATTATTAGACGGTTTGATAAAATGTCATGTTAAAATTATTGCCTACACGTCATAACCACACTTACCGAGCGTTTACCGCCGACCCGTCGAGAACGACAAAAAAAAAAAAAAACAAATTTTTATTAAAAGTCGTACGCGTTTTACAGGAACGGCAGCGGCTGCGTGTCCCGATCGGAATATCTGACGGCCGATGATCGACCGGCGGCCGTTACTGCTGCTACTGTGATCCGATTCGCGGAAGCCGGCCAACCGCGGTGGCCGCGCGACCATCGCCCGTCCGCAAGATGACCGTCACGACCGCCGCGGCCGTCATGACCGTTTGGTGGTTGGCCGCGATACTGTGCGTGGCCGGCGGTTTGACGTTGGACGGCACGTACGGCCAGTTCCGCAAGTGGAACGCCGGGCTGAACGGCACGCTGGAAATGGAGTTCAAGACCCGGTCGCCCAGCGGGCTGCTCATGTACACCGACGACGGCGGCACGTACGATTTTTTCGAACTGAAACTGGTCGAGGGCACGATGCGCCTCCGGTACAACCTGGGCGCCGGCGCCCAGATACTGATGGCCGGCCACGATCTGTACGACGGCCGGTGGCACCGGGTGGCCGTCGAGCGTCGGGGCCGCGTCACGGCCCTGACCGTGGACAACGCGACCAGCACCGCGCCGTCCGCCGGTAAGGAACTGCAGTTCGGCCGGCTCGCGTCCAACTCGGCCGTGTACGTGGGCGGCATGCCCGGCTGGTACAACGGCCGGCTCACCCGGCTCGCCCTGCCCAGCGTCATATTCGAACCGCGTTTCAGCGGCTCCGTCCGGAACCTCATCTACACCGACGAGTCTTTCCCGTATCCCAGGCGACAGACCGCGGTCACGGATCCGGGCCGACAACCAGAAGTGAGTGATTTTTTTTTTTTTCCATACCTAACCAAACACAACCCCGTACGTATTCGCGAAATTCCCTTTACAATTCTTAAAAGGTGATTCTCAACGCCTAAAATACTCCGACCGTTTGAGTTTTCCAGAGCCGCAGTTGACGTTCGCGGATAGCGGCACTCCCGGGTAGTTTGAAAAAAAAAAAGATCTTTTCGAACGTTTTCTACTCCTTTTCCTTTGTCTCGATTGGCCAATCGCGAGGCCAGCCACTCGTTTTATTTTCACATTTTACACGTCCCCCTGTCCGCCATAATTTGCTCGTCCACTCTAAACGCCCTCGTACGTGCGTCTGTGGCGGAGCCCGGAGGAGTTTTGATCCCCCCCAATCTCAAAAAATGTATAAAGTGCATATACGCACGCGAATTAATGTTTATATTTTAAACAAATATGTAAAAAAAAAAGCTTATAAAATAATAATGTAAAGCGTGTCTTGGCATAAATTATACCTAATCATATACAGGTGCGTGTACAAGGGGATAATTTCAGGGGATTAACCTCCTCCCTTATTTGTTTACGTTATTTTGGTTTAATAAACTATTTGACTATTTTTACCTAATAAAAATTAACGCAATAAAATATTGACATTTTTAACAAATTATAAATTATCAATTGAAATGATGATAAACCATTCGTTATGAGACAGTGAACACCTTTACTTTCTTCCCTTCTCCCTACATATTTATTTGTACACGTGTTTGCCCAACTATAATTACTGCCCTCTAACAACCGTAATATTGCCGTTTCCTTAAAATTTCTCATAATTTTTTCAATAAGAGCTATCCAATCGAGTATATTTTCGGGCACAGCTGAGTAGTCCTCCTCAAATCGTTTTCCTACGGATTTATAAAAAATAATTATCGTTTGATATCCATTTAATTTGAATTCATAGTCATTTGAAAGCCCCGTTTCTCATAACACAATAATAATCTTTTACTGAACTTAACAGTATTGCGAGATTATTGAAACGAGCAAGTATTGTACTATCTACTAAATATATTAATTTTAAAAAATTTAAAAAAAATATCTTTAAGCGCGAATTTGTGTCAGCTATTGAATCTACAAGACTGGATTTAATATTATTTAAATTGAAAAAAAACTATCGAGATTTAATAAATTTTTATTCAATTAGAGTGTGAAAACTATAATGTAATAAAAATAGTACAAGCGCGTTTTTTTTTTTTTTTTACAAGAATGTAGGTATCGGATCCACTACCCCCCTTTCCACCGCTCGAATTATTTTTTTGTACGCGCACCTGGCCGACTAAAATTACTCGCCTCTTTGTTCTTCTCGGGAGATTTGTGTTCGAGAGCGATAATGGTCGTAATTTCCAATAACGGCTAACCAATCGGGTCTGTTTTCGGGCATAAAGTACAGTCCTCCTCGAGTCGTTTGCCCGCGTTTCGGCGGAGAAGACCTTCTCCCAGGAGCCGGGAATAGCCTGGAAACTCGGTGCACACGCGAATCGTAAAACATTATGCACGCATAAATATGGCCCGTGCGGGACGTAGCACCTTCCCGTAGCACCCTCCTGCACGCGCGCCCGAACTCCCTCACGAATAGCCTCCACCCGGTTTTTTTTTCTCTTCGGTCTACCCTTTTCCCTCGCGTTTAAACATTCAAGTTTACGTTCAACGCGTCCGACATCGTCCCCGCGGTTTCATACGAATTTCACTCGTTTCCTCGGGACTTTTTAACCGCACCACACTGCACTGCCGTCAGACTCGCGTCGCTCCACGTAATCCGTTTTAACCTCCGGCCCACGATTAGCGTCCTCCGAAAAACGTAACGGCCCTGAACCGCTATAATTCCATCATCATTCCGTAACCGCACGGGGGAATAACATCCAAGGAAATCGACCGATCGTTAAGCGGACGTTTCCGGACGGTTATACTGTGTGTCGAAGGTTTTTTTTTTTTCTTTAGTTTGGCGGTTGTTTTTTCTGTCAAAATACCCTCTATTAGGACCGTTCGGTTGACATTGTGTCGATCCATTACCCCGCGGTATACATTAAATCCGATACCGACGAATCGATATTCTCGGGGGTTGGTCGCGTAAAAAAATAAAGACACACCCGACGGCGGCGTCGGTTTAATGGATATGATGAAAACGTCGCCGGGTATCATCGGGACGCGATAGTAACAAACGATATTATCGTATCCGAAAAATTTAATTTGTTTTGGATTATCGAGAAAAAAAAAAATAACCGTTCTTATAAAATTATTACGAAACGGTCCTTATCGACGTCAATGGAAATATTCTGTCCGACGAAAATTACGTAGTTTGGTCGCGTCGTGAACAGTATTTAATTCAAAGTTCGGTTCGTATAATTAAAAAAATATCTGGATCTACTGATCTAGATAATTTTTTGTAAAAAAGAAAAAAAATATCATCAGTCTTCTAATCCGGTTATGCACAAGCAAATATCGATTATCCATTCGGATCAGGCTAAATTTATAAATTTTAACGTTGACCACTAACCGTTGTCTCGCGGACCACCGGTGGTTCACGGATAAAAGTAGAAAACCTGATAAAGATTAAAAAAAAAATGAATTTCAATCAAGACAAAAATATTATTCATTTTTCGTACGAGTTACGCTAAAGATCTAAGTCTGTCTGATCAAAATTATGGGTTCTCTAAAGTCATTTGTTAATTAGAATCACCTTCCACGTAAACTCGTCGAAATAAAGTTCAAATTTAATAAACCATACGAATTTGAACAAGAAAAGATTTTGTCGTCCGGTGTCCTTGAATGTAAATTTAACTCGATTATAATACAGAGTTATATGTATAATATTGTTACAAGTTAATCAAATAACAAGTAATAATAAGTTACCGAATGATAAACCATCAACTACCAAAGTTAAAATGGCTAAACTTTCAAGTAATTTAATTCAACTACATAACTTTACGAATACTTCAACAAAATTAAATATATTAGGGTTAGGGCTTACGAAATAACGAAACATAAAATAACGGTAAACTTTTAACTTACGATACATTCCACATTCTACAATCAACGATGAAATGGCAAAAACAATGATGAATTTAAGAAGTAAAACAGCTGTCCTAGAATAATGGAGACGGGTGCAGCCGCCACTGTTGTAGATGGAAAGATGAGAAGGCAGGATACAGAAGAAAATTTAATGTGTATACCTGTAAGCAACGATAAGCCATTGCTAACGAAAAAACAATTCTGAGTGCAGTTCAGTTGATAGTAATGCTTTGTCAACAATATACAAGTCATACTTGGTAAATTATTAAATAATATTTGTTAAACATTGTACCGATTTCCTCATTTTTCCCATGTTTTTTCTCGGTTTTTCACATTTTCTACCTATCTACTAGAAAAATTGAAAAATCACCACTTTAAAATACCATCTCAGTCAGATTTACTTCCAGAAAAAGTACTATTATTGTAAATTAGAAGCAAATTTATGGTAAAAAAGTTGTTAACAGGAAAAAAAAGGCCAACATATTTTTCAACTAATACCTACATTTCTTATATTTTCCGTTTTTCATCCATGTTTTTTAGTTTTTTACATTTGTTAAGAAAAATCCCGAAAAAGTCAAAAAACATCCTCCCTAAAAGTACCATCCTAGTCAGATTTCCTATTAAAAAAAGTGTCTACACCTTAAACATCGGAGTAAGCTTTCTGTTAGAAAAAGTGTTCACATAAAAATAAAAATTAACATCTTTGTAAAACTAATACATTCTTTGTTGAACTCAGAATCCAAAAAAAAATAAAGAACTACTCTGGACCAATATTTATCTTGACAAATGAAATATCTTCCTAGGATAACATATTTAGATGAATTGAAATTATTTAACTATAGAAACGATAAGTTAAAAGTTATCTAAATAAATCCGAACACTTAATTAGGTATCTATATAAGCACTAAAGCAGAGGGAATACGATTTTTTTCTTTGATTCTAAGTGTAACAAAGAAGCTATAAGATCTATAAAGATTAGTTTTTTTTTTTACAATTTTTACGGTTAATAAAATTCTCGTAATTTGTCAGGTTAAACTTTGAACGATGTCGGTTTTTCACCTTACGTTAACATTTTTTGAAAAAAAAATGTATTTTTTTTTTTTTAACGTTATTACTACAAATACCTTAAAAGTGCGAAATTTTAAATTGGATTTCTTTTAACGTTGTAATATACAGTGTTGACTTTTGAGGCCAAGTTAAACAAATTGTCTAGATGAAATAAAAATAATTTTAATTTTTCCCCGATACAGACAAAAATAACCGAATCGATCACATATCTAGAAGACTACAAACGATAATTGTTTGGTACAATAATGTTCTTATCTAGATCTAAAGTCCTTTTGGCATTACAAATCTTCTCGAGTTTTGGCTGTGTTCCGAATTTCGCGATCGTATTGGTACTCTCCTTTATTGCCAATTCGCTACACAAAATTTCTCCGGGCTTTGTTCACCCTATCCATCTGTCCGTCCACAGAATCGATGGACGGCCTCTAGGACTTTGCCCACTCGGTATACACTCGAATTTCGCCTTTACAATATTATTTTCGCGATCGCATTATTCGTGCGTTACTTCCGCGGTATCCTGCGATACGTTTTTCTTTCTGCACGGTGTCCATAGACAATTTTATGCCAGATACCGGTATTCTTTTTTTCACAAGCTTGGTGTCGATGAAACAATCACTCTGTACATTCACGACTGAGGCTTATGCCAGACAAATAAATCGTTCAACGTTATATTTTTATTGAAACTTTTTTTTTTTTACTCATATTTATTTATTGCGTTTAACGTTTATAAACATTTGAACGTTATTTATTTGTGCGTGGTGCGCTTTTCCGTTTTGAACGTTATAAATAACGTTTATAAGCCCCGAATTCGATGGCCAACCAATACATTACGAGATATTCACGCGCGTCCGGGTAACAGGTCACATTCTTATTTAAAAAAATAATATCGTTCAATAATTTTTTTTATGATATCAACCTACAGGTGTGGACTGATAAAAATGGTATGAAAAGCTACAAAATTGTATAGCGAATATTAACAAATTTCGGGTAAAATTATAATAACGAAACAAATTTTTAAAAAAGCCAACCTAGATATATTGCACTGCGGGATATTGGCACGCCACTGTCGTAGGTTAGATTAGGTGAGGTTCAACATATTTCGACAAATTTTAATAGAAAATTGTATATTATTTCGTAACTAGAAAATAAATTCGACAATTTGTTTGCGTTTTAAACGAAATTTAACATAAACTGATGATGAAAAGAAAATGTTGAAGGGTTTTTTTTTTTTTTTTTTTATAATACCACCCTATGTATGTTTATAAACCGTGCAATACAAACTATTAAACGTCGCTGATTGTTTTGTAAATGTTCTTGTAGGTTTTATAAACGAACAATTAATAATGTAAGGAAATTCTATTAAGTATCGTTTTTTATTCGAAGTGTAGTTAGAAATGTATTGGTTTTACAACGATATTTATTTTTTTTTGTCTATGAGCGACTTTCCATAGATCGATAGATCAGAAATCTCGCTTTAATGTACTGAGTGTAACCCCGTCTCTGAAAGGGAATTTCGTCAAGTCAGTACTTTAAACGAGTCATTTTCCGAACGGTTTTCATAATAATTAGGAAAATTGGGAAATTGTACGTACCTACGCATGTGAAAATCGTATTATTTCGAGTGTATTTTGAATAATAACAATAATTATTGTTATTATTGATTATTAATTAACGCCAAACTGATTTTACAATTGTGGTTAGCAACAAAAAAAAAATAAAAAAAAAATATATTAACAATTACAATACCTAGAAGTTGGCACGAGGGATGCACCCAAAATAAATTTGCAATATAATAAACCAATTTACACACGTAAAATTTGAAAAAGACATTATAACACGAGACAAGAGTTATGACTATAACAAGTCGCAATAGGTAAGCGTGGATTATAAAAGTATAAAAAATAATATAACAAGTAGGAGTAAATCGGTAGAAATGAAACGAAAATTATTCATTGGCTTCGTCAACTTTTTTGGAGATGATTAGCCGAGATAATAAGAGGAATATAAAATCGAGGAGAACTCCGGCAGCATCCGGACGTGCAGTCAAGACGTGTCAGACGGTCTGCTAACGAGTCAAAATTAAGATTACGGAGAAAAGGTACGCGGTGAGTTGCAGCCGTGAGGAAAGCCTTCGATATTCAGTGCGTATTCCGCCCGGCATAATAATCGAGTTTACCCCACGCTCTTAATAAAACTTTATTATAATAAACCGTATGTGTAAATATACTATACGGAGTGATGACATTGTAAAAGAAAAACGTCGGACGGATTTTTTCAGACGACGAAAACAACCCGACGGTGAACCGTCCAGCGGACAAATGTCTCGCTCAGTGGCGGCGTCAAAGACGCACCCGGGCGCGCCGCGGCCCAACTTGGAAACCCTTGGCCCACACGTTGGCCGACCTAAAATTTTTGATTTAACTTGATATAACTTTGAAATCAAAAATTGATAGATTTATAATATTTTTTTTTTTAAATAAATTACATGTATTGGATGACCATTTTATTTATTTATTTGCTTTCACTTTTTTTTTTTTTTTAAATAAGTATCTGATAAACAAATAGCCCGACCTACTCACCGAAACTTCTGTCACTGATACTGTGACGCAACCACCATTTTTCAAAGGGGGGAAGGCAAAAGTTTTAGGAGATTAAATAAAAAATTGTTTTTATTACAAAGGTGCAATGCACTTATATACGTCAGAAGAGTCCGAAACATGATCGATGCATCGAGAGCGTTCAATTCGATTGGGAATATTTTCACGCGATTTTCAATTGACGTGACGCACTGCATTTACGTTTACGGCAAAATATACGAATGCTGAAACGAGTGATGAACGTGTCAAAATGTTTCGACAGTGCGACAACATCGGAAAACGTCGGTGACGCCGTCACGCTGTTTTATCGGATTCTCGGTTCGGTTCTCGATGGGAGATCGTCGAAAAATCGATTTAGGAGAAAGAACAATACGATCTTCACTCGTATCCACGTGAAAATGGCCCGCGCTATTGATACGGGTCACTCGTGTCGTTTTATCGCACCGTCGCCTGTTTCAGTAAGGGATTGCGTGATTTCCCGTTCGTGTTGTCTTGTGATATTTCCCGAGGTCAAACACAAAAAAGATGTGCGCTTCGCACGATGGACGGGTCGCCGTTGTAGTGGAAAAGTCTGGAAGGAAGGTAGAGAAAATTTACGTCACGATTAACCGTTGCTAACGAAAAAAGATTCTGAGCGGAGTTCGGTCAATGGTGTTGCTTTGTTAACATATCACGCGCGTCATGTTATGGTAAAATAATTAAAAATTACATACTCGTATTATTTATTTTATTTTATTTTTTGCAATATTTTTTTTACCGTTTTTCCTACGTCTGTTTTTCTCGGTGTCTATCCCGTCAACTATGAAAGCGGCCGAGAAAATCAAAAAACGACCCCCCCCCCAATGTACTACCACGGTAGACAGATTTACATTCGGGAAAAGCGTTTTCGATAGACAATCGGAGCGAAACGACCCTTTATCCAGGCACGGGTGTACACGTGGCTATCAGTACGATTTTTCGTCGGTCCGCAGAGCGTACGGTAAAAACAAAAAAAAAACGGATTGCTTTCAACCGCCAAAAAAAAAAAAATCGATTTCTTCGGGCGCGCGGACCGGTAATAATAATTATCGGTTTAACGGCCGGGCGCGCGCTTTCTGTTTTTCTTTCCACCCCGGTCGCTTTTTCCCGAAACAATCGTAATGTATTACAATTATTTTTCGAAACGTATACACGGCGTGAATAATTAACGCGGTCCGAAGACGCGCGCAGCGGCGGCCGCTCCGAAAAATGCCATTAAAAATGCACGCCGTAACCTCTCTACGGATACCCCGTGCGTCGCCGCGTTCCCGATAAATAATAAACGCGTTTTGTAAATTACTCAACGGCCCCCGCGCGAAACCCAATTGTTCGAAATACAACACGCGTGCACGTGACTATCGTCGCACTGACGCGTGATAAGTACGGCGCGCCGACGTGAAGTTGACGGGGGATTAAACTTACCCGGTCGCGTACAACGAGTGGGGCCGACGAACGCGGTGGTTTTTTTTTGTTTTTTTTTTTTTAATAAACCAATGTCCGCGAACCATCGGACCGGGATGAAAATCCCCCGGACCCGAAACGGACCGCGTCGCGGACTTTTTCTCCCCCGCGGCGTTTAGCCGCCTCACGCCGCCCGTTGCCACGTTCGCACGTTCGTCGCGGACTCTTGCCGTCGACGCGCCCGAGACTTCCCGATCTTAAATCACGGCGGATTGCTGTTGCTGAGCGCTCGTCCCTCGTCCTGACGTCCTCGGCCCACTATGCTCCCGTCCGCCTTAGCGCGGTGCTCGTTCCCGCTGCACGCGTTCTCCGTTCTGTTCGTGTCCGTAATTGTATTACGAAGTCCGAGCGAATATCACGGCCGTACATAAAGTACACGGGGGAATAATAATAATAATAATAGTGTAAAAAAAAAAAAAAAAAAAAAGGTTTTTATTTTTCTTTTCCCAGCTTCCGATCGCCGATCGTAGTGGCGTTTGACGCCCGGGTCGGATATTTCGAACGGTTGATGTAACCGAGCGCAACGTCCGGACGGCAATCTAATTTTGGTTTTCATCATTTTGACGGGGAAACGGCGAAGGCCACCCGTCCGAGACCGCTGATATTTGCCATTTCTAGAAGCGGTACGATTTCCAGATACTTTTCGCAGTATGATTCGGCGCGTTTAAAAACGCATAAGACAAATTACAATAACGTTTCCGTCCCGCTGACAGAGAACCGTGGATACGGTTTCGCGCTCGGGAGACGATTAATCGAATCGGTCTCCGTTTCGAAAATACCGTCTCCGTCTTTCCCCGCCCCCCTCCCTACCACTTTATTTCAACGTTCTCGCCGATTTCCGTTTCCTCCGCGCGGTCCCGCTCGCCGCGGTATCGCAAAACTGTCGACGTAAAATGATCCGGTAATCGAATATAATTAATGACGCGAATTCCAGATGCGTACCCGCACCAGCGCGACATCCGTGTTAATACGACAGAGAAAGCGTTTTTGCTCCGAGTATAATATAATTACTGTAAGTATTTCACGCATTATCATAGCATAAAACATGCCGTAAATATAATATTTCAGGTTGTGTTTGTAACGATTTTTTTATTGCGTATCGCTGGTGAAATATTGCCCGAGAATTGTACGTACTACGCATATAAGGCCGGATCAGCAACATCGTTTTTTTTTTTCCCGTATTTTTTTCGCACGTATGGTGTTATTGGACTTTTTTAAATTTTTAGTAAAATTATACATTAGTACCTCACGAACATTAGTATTACGGAATAATTCTTTTAAACGCAGTTATTGGTTACGTTTGTTTCGCTCGAATAGGTTGTTGCGGGTTTCAAAATGTATTATTACTACGGCAATTTCGATTCGTACAATTTTTTTTTTTTCTACAGAACGCATTTTAGTACTTTTGGAGCATATTTGTGTCATTATTGTTAATATGGCAACGATATATAAGGCATGATGACGTTACGTCATGTATTTTTTTTTCTTTCGATTTTTTTTTTCGATTCGTCTATGCCAAAATGTTGCTGTTTTTTCATTTCGTCTGGCTCTCGCCCGCGGCTCCGCCACGATCCACGGGATTTCGCGTGAATGAGCAAAAAAAGTGTGCTGACTTAGCGATCTTCTTCTGACACACTGCCCGCAATTCGGGCAACAAATAAAAACAGCTGACAATTAACTCGCATCCCTGCAGTACGGTTACGCACGGTGCCGGTTCATTTTTTTAAGCATACCTAGGTATATTGAAAGCGTCGATAAATCATTCGTGCAATTGAAAACCTATTCTGAACTCGAAATTATCTCCCGTGGGTTCTATGGATAGTATTGCCCGTACTATACGTGTAAAAATAATTATTTATTATATTTACTGTGATTCAATATTCAAACTTTTATCAAAATCATAAAAACGTATAGAATATATATTTTTTTTTGTCACATATTCTAGGACACAACTTGTTCATATCTGCGTACCGTTTACACATTTCGAAAATGTTTCCACTAGCCACAATTATTGGGCTTTTACTTATCAAAAAAAAAAAAAAAATGCGTAGGTACGTCATTTACTCGAATGGAACATTTGTTATTAAATCCAATTATTTATCAACATATAATAAACAATAATACAGATATTATTATTTTTATGGATGACATGGTTAGTGTTTTAACTAATAACCTTTTTTTTTCACCTGTCAAAAAATTTCTTCGCGAAACATCTACGAGCTTTCCGCGTACAGTTAGCGGATACGCTTACTACAGTATGAGAATTGCTGTATTAGGATACTCGTATTTAGGCACATTTTCGTTTCCAAATCTTCTCTTCGCGTTGCATCCTCCAACTGGCACTCTTAAGTTTTTTACAGATTACGTTTTAATTTGCTGGCTTCCATTTCGTCGTTGATCTGTGTAATTTGACCTTCTGCTCTCCAAACGTATCTGGACCATTAAACAAAACGTCCAGTTCTCTGTTTGATCTTATTTCGTATCCGTTTTCTTCGTTCCTCTTCGAGCCAAATATTTTTCACGTAAATTTCTAACCCTTAATATCATTTTTTATTAGATATTTTTATATTACATTTATATTACATACCAAATGTATACACTTATTATTATTATTTTTTTTTTTTTTGGAATAAGATAGGTGCGAAAAAATGTCATTACATTGTAAGCAGAACTTTAAAAAACATATCCAACAATGCTTTAACTTGTTGGACATTGTTGAAATTTGTTGGCGCCCTCGAATTTATTTATTAGACGTTTTATTGTATAATTTATTTTTAAAATGTCGTATTTGCTATATAAGTTTGACATGTCTTTTGTCTCGATTTCGTGAAATCGAAAGTGGTAAAAGGGACACATTTTATCGCACCATACGTTTCTATTTTTTTTTTTTAAATTCATAAAAATGTTTACATATAATAATATGTATTTGATCGTATTGCGAAAATTTTTTTTAATCTTTCGCGGGGAACGATATGTTCGTATTATGAAAATTCAAAACATTTGGATTACGCGAAATTATCCGTCAGGACTGAAAAACATTTAGTGATGATAATTCCGATACAAAACCGTTCATCTGGAAATCCGATAAATGATTAAATTGGTTTCAATAAAAATATCTGTATTATCATTACAAATTGTATCGACCGTAGTTT